CAGAGACGCAACCGGGCTGCCCTAGTCACGAGCGGCTCCGACCGGACCGCTGTGATTTGGACAGAAGAGCCTGAAATTGTTCCATTTGTGCACTCAGCTGTGTGCTGAGCTGTGAGTTGAGATCCGATCTCATGGTCATCACCGCCTGCGATACAGCTTGCTGCACTTGCTCACCTTGGGCGGCCATCTGTCCTTGCATCTGGGCCAGTTCTTGCTGCTGTCCCTGCATGGCCTGCTGGATTGCCCCCACTTCCTTCGACTGCTGGTCCATGCGCTTTCCTGCCTCTGCGAACCAGTTCTCAAACTTCCGGCCTTGCGTTTGAAGTTCAGTGAGACCTGCTTCCAAGCGTAGGAATCGACTCTCTGTGGCCTCGTCGTGGGCCTTGCGTTCAGCCAGAGAAGACTGGACCGCGACGTCCACTTCTTGCTTGAGCTGCTGATGGACCTCCTGGATCTTAGCAGCCGCCCCCGGTGTGGGCTTGGGGGCCTCTGTAGCCGCATTTTTGTATCTGGCCCACGGGTCCTGTCCCTGCGCCCATGGATCCTCTGTAGAGCTGGATGCCGCGGCAGGAGTCTCCTGAATGTGGCGTCTGGTCTTGGAGGAAGCAAGGACCCTGGCTGCGGCGCTGGGAGCCTGGCTGCTGCTGATTTGCACTGGCAACACAAAGCCGCTGTCTGTGGCGAGGGCTGCCGAAGGTGGTGGGTCTTCAGCGCCGACCTGCCAGGCCGCTCCGGCTGTACCTTTGGTGGGTTGAAGTGGCCTAGCCGCCCAGTTCCAGGCATCCAACAACTGCTGCAGCCCTTGTCTGGTGAGACCACGCGGTAGAGGATGCAGCATGTACTTAGCCGTAACCTTTACCTTGGAAAAGGCATGTTCCGGTCTCAGCAGCTTAAACGCCGCCTCTTCATCTTCAGCTCTTACTCTGACACCGTACTTGTGGCCTAGTCTTGTCAGAGCCAGAGCCTTGTCGGTTTTGCGCTTGCTGTGCAGCGCCGCCTTGTGATCTTGGCCTGGGAGCCAGATGACCGCATAGTCTGGACAAGGGCCAGTCGCAGGTGCCTCAGCTCTTGGCTCGACATAGACTCCCACTGTGGTCGACTGCTGCAGTCCGTCGATGGCCGACGCTGGGACCCTCATGAAGACCTGGAAGGCTGCGGCGGCTTGCTGCGTAGCTTTTGCCCCGTTATCCAGCTGGAACTTGCGGGCCCAGACTTCATGAATGACAGTGTCAGGGGACTCGTCTATGGAGGCATGGAACTTTGGGCAGTTGTGGCCGCAGCCATTGCCTTTGCATAGAGTGAACAGGGGGATGTGTTGTGTGAGGCACTTAATGGGCGCCTGTGAGAACTGGTCCCAGTCACCACCCCACTGGTCCTTGTACACACTGACCTTAATGACCCCTGCGCGTATCTGATCAGCTTTGGTGCTGCTGGCAGCCTGCAGTACCTTGGCGTCACCCAGTTGAATGAGGGTGCCTACGGCCAAGATGGGCTCCGAGGTTGGACCATAGATGGCCGGAAAGCGCAAGACCTGGGTGACCTGTGCCGAGACTTCAGCATCTGACAAGGGTGCGGTGGAAACAATGGCAAGCGGTTCGACACTGATAGAGGTGACCTCCTCCAAGAAAGGTCTGGCCTGGGCCGGACTACAAATCGCAACTCCATGCGCGTTGGCCTCGACATCCTCAAGGCTTATGCTGGGTACTACCGTGCCGTCTTCCGTCACGAACGTGCCCTCAATGAGCACTAGGTGTTTCGGGTCAAGCTCCGGCATCAGCTTCGGCTTGCCTGCCTTTCCTCTATCTTGCTTCTTAGCGCGAGCCTCCCCTGCTGCAGTGCCGAACTTGTTGTCTGCTCTCTGTCTTATCTGCGCTTCGAGCTCTTCCGGCCGCAGCCAGCGAAAGGGCTGTGGCAGCCCCGATGCAAAAGACTTCAGGACAGTCCAAGGCTTAGCGGCTTTGAGTCCTTCTTCTATCCTTCCCTGCCCAACCTTCTTGATTGCATCCGCAATTCGGTCCTGGACTTTGTCTTCTGGCACTCCTTTCTCGACAAGCAGTTCGACGAGTTGCTTCTTGACCTCTGCTTGCAAGGCCCCCGCGCCGATATGCAGCGCTGGCCCCTGGGAAAGCTTGTGCGCTCGGTCCTGGACCCAACTCACCAGAGCGGCATTTCCTATCTGCTCGAGCTGTGAAGTCAGCAGGTGGCAAATTGCAACAGCCCCACAGCAGCGTTGGCCTAAACTAGGGTCGCACCGTCTCTCAAGAGGCAGGCTGCAGTGCCCAAAGAGGGCGCAAATTGCGTCCACTAATTTGTCCGCGGCCTCAACTGTGCATTCATGCAGGGGATCCCAGTGGACTGCACGTCCTTCACGAGGTCTACAGAGAGCAGGTACCAGTGGTCATGTGCCTCTGCAAAGGCGTGCAAACACGTCGCATTTGCGAAGCCGAGGTCAGCTGTTTGCAGGTGTCCTGAGATATGCAGGCCTGGTAACAGGGACGCAAGCCTGGGCGGGAGAATGACATGCCCCGCAGGCAGGGCCTGCGCAACGTCTTGCAGGAATCCAGTCACGCCGAGGTCCGACAGCTCATGTAGCTCGCACTGGGTCTCTTTCAGCGGTCGGGCGTCCAAAAGTTGCGGACCGTAGAGCCTGCAAGTGTCTGGCACCTCTTCTTGCGTGTTGGCTTGGCGAAGCCTGGTGCAGGAGGGCAATCCCGCTGCAAGCAGTATCTGACATGGCAAGGCTCCCTCAGCAATGGCCACTGCCAGCGTGCCTGTCTCAACACAAACAAGGACCTGGCGCCCTGTATCTGCCTTGTGTTGATGTTTGACCTGACTGGAGAGGGCATACGGCTCACACGGTCTTTGGTGCAAGAGGGCATCATCGTGCAGCTTCCGCCGTCCTGAGTACATTTGCAGACTGAGCCCAGGGCCAAGGAGCTGCTTTTCTGCACGAATCACTTCATCTACCCTCACGGCATGGTCAACTCTGATCTGCCTTACAGTGCCCTCAAAGGTCAGGGAGAGTTCTTGGCTGCCACATTGATGGCAGTATCCACCTGTCTTCTCTTTCTGCAATCAAGGCTGTCTTCAACAGCAACAGCGCGTTCTGTGGTGTCTGGGCATGCGGCAGTGACAACCTAGTTTCTCGCAGCTTTCGGAGCTGCGCAAAAACCCAACAAGATTGCAGAGGTGACGCTACGTGTCCCAACAAGCAAAGCGCTGCTCTCAGGTCTGCATTGTGCACGAAGGTGACGCTGACACCGTTAAGCAGACCTACTTCCTGGGGGTGGGGGTGCCTAAGCGCAGCAGAACCACCCTGAAGGACCCCGAAACCCTTCAAGCCCGCAGAGAGCAGAAACTGTTCAGAAAGTGGCCCTCGGCAGCCACATGGGCATGTGCGCAGCGGTGAGCCCCAGTTGTGCAAGGCTGTTGGCGCAATCTCTTTCTGATCTAGTAGTCTAGGGCTGTTACCGAATTTGGGATCCATGAAATGCTTCGACTCCTCATCATCCCACCTGAGCTGATCTAGTTCCTGCTGCGGCCAGCAGGGCCATTCTGGGATGACGTCACCTACGCTCAGCCTTGTGGCCAGCTTAGGCCAGGCTTCAAGCCTGTGTGGTGTCTTCGGCATCAAGACACACCACCATCTCAGTCTCCTGCAGGGCCACTGGTCTGCAAGGTCCAGGATTACATGGTGTTGGTCCCACCCTAATTTGCAGGCGAGTTCGGTGATCAAGGCACGGACTTCGGGGTGTTGTTTGGCCTCGACCTTGCATTCTAACACCAGGCCTTCTGGCTGTAAGAACCATGCTGTGAGAAAGACATGTGTGGAAACTTGCGTCTGGCTATCTTGGAATCTCTCGCCGTCCCCCTCTCTGGAGAACAGCTGATAAGGAAGCCCTGCTGCAAGTATGCATGCCATGTCCGAATTGACAGCATGAAGCGCAATCTTGGCCTTTCTATCCCTGATGTCTGCTTGAATGGCCTGGCCACCATTCTGGCGGATGGTATCGCACGCGAGTGCGTTGACGTCAAGCTGAACTGAGGCGTGAAACCCCGATGCAGCAGCACCCAAGGCAATCCCCCCCAACCCGGCGCAAATCTCTTTGAGTGCCAGGGCACCAGAAGCTGAGTTTGGCGGCTTTTGGAACTTCCGAGAACCTACACAAGGCCCCAGAACAAGCCCCTCCGAATCAATCAATCGGTAACCGTAAAGCGTCCAGACCCCTGCAGACAACTCGCCAACGATCCAGCAAGAGGTCTTAAACCAAATATCCACGGCACGTGTGTGGCCCTCGGTATGGCCCGTCACCTCCACGACGAAGTCCACGGTCTCGCCCGCCTTCATCTCCATAATTGGCCGCAGTGGAAGTGCCATCCCTCGAGGCTCTGCTGACACGACTCCCCCGCTGGTAGGGTCTCGAGCAAGAGCTGGGGGTTACGGGTTTAGGGTTCAGGGGTTACATTGTGGGTTTGAGGTTTGGGGTTCGGTTAGGGGTAGAATAGGGTTCAGGGTTTCGTGGTTTAGGGTTCAGGGTTAAGGGGTCAGGGGTTTGGGGTTCAGGGTTAAGGGGGTTGGGTTGGGTGTTGAAGCGCATTCGAGACTCTACGCCCCATGACCAGGCATTCTCTACTCTTGGCACGAGCTCCGGAAAGCTCAGTGCGTGGGCACGCAACACCCATTCAAACCCGATGTCCCCCCCGAAATTTGCGGAGATCATAGGTTTTCTGGCTTGAGGGCTTCCCCAAACCCGAAACCCTAAACCCCAAACCCTAAACCCTGAACCCCCTAGAACTTGGGGGGGCTGGGGGCTCAGGAGTTCGAGGTTTTTGGTTCTTGGTTTAGGGTTTAGGGTTTCGGGTTTCGGGTTTAGGGTTTAGGGTTTAGGGTTTAGGGTTTAGGGTTTAGGGTTTAGGGTTTAGGGTTTAGGGTTTAGGGTTCAGGGTTTAGGGTTTAGGGTTTAGGGTTTAGGGTTTAGGTGGAACCGATGCCAAAGCACCGCAGAGGAAGGCCAAGATCTCCAGAGACAGGGCCTGGGTCTCCGACCTCCGCTCTGAGGCTTCTTCTAGGGGTTTAGGGTTTAGGGGTTTAGGGGTTAGGGGTTAGGGGTTTAGGGTTTAGGGTTTAGGGTTTAGGGTTTAGAGTTTAGGGTTTAGGGTTTGAGGGTTTGAGGGTTTTAGGGGTTTAGGGATCCAGGCATGTAGGGCTGAGGGCATCGGACTTCGGCCCAGTGGCTCGAGCTTTCTTCTAAACCCATGTGGGGTGCCCTGAAGATGAGGATTCGCGTGCGAAATCGACCGCCTGGAGGTGCGTGATGTCCCTAAACCCTAAACCCTAAACCCTAAACCCTCAACCCTCAACCCTCAACCCTCAACCCTCAACCCTAAACCCTCTCAACCCTCTCAACCCTCAACCCTAAACCCTAAACCCTAAACCAGAGGAAAGAAGCCTTGAAATGAACCAGTAGGGTAGCACAGGGTTTAGGGCTTGGGGCTTAGGAGAACCGGCTTGCCCCAGAAGGATGGCAAACAAGAGGGAAAGCCTACATGAATTCCTGTGTAGGGTTTAGGGTTTAGGGTTTAGGGTTTAGGGTTTAGGGTTTAGGGTTTAGGGTTCAGGGTTTAGGGTTTAGGGTTTAGGGTTTAGGGTTTAGGGTTTAGGGTTTAGGGTTTAGGGTTTAGGGTTTAGGGTTTAGGGTTTAGGGTTAGGGTAGCCCAAAAGCCGTTGAGGCTTTGGGCTGGCAGGGAATCTCATCCCAAGCCGCCCTGGGTTCGCTGCTGCGAAGTGGTGCAGCGCTTTGATGAAGAAAGGGATCTGCGGCGGGGCTTCGTAGATTTAGGGTTTAGGGTTTAGGGTTTAGGGTTTAGGGTTTAGGGTTTAGGGTTTAGGGTTTAGGCGGTTTAGGGTTTAGGGCTTAAGGCTTAGGGTTTAGGGTATAGGGCTTAGGGCTTAGGGCTTAGGGTATAGGGCTTAGGGATGAGGGCTTAGGCTTATGGGTTTAGGCATTTAGAGGCCCCTGTCAAAACCCTAACCACGACGGCCCTTCGTACGGGAAGAAAACCTTCAACATCCTACTCCTGGAAACCCCAAACCCCAAAACCACCCTTAAACTTGTAGGCCTCGACCTTCATGAGAATGGAATCCCCCCCCACCCCACCCCAAACTCCACCCAAAAGCCCAGAGATCTCGATCCACTGCGAACCTTGCCACTGAACTACCCCTAAAACGTAAACCCTAAACCCAACCCGGAAACCTAATGCTAACATCACATTTATACATGGGGTGAGAGTTGTAGAATTCGGAGGGCCAGCTGCCCCGGCCCAAGACTACTTTCCATTACGGGAGGTTTTCGGGCTGATGTGTGTAAACAAGCCCATATAGGGGTCCGATGAGAATAACAAAGGGGTGACAACTGTAAAATTCGACTGGCCAGGAACCTAAAACTTACTGAAGATCGGTTTAGAGTTCCATTGCAGAAAGACTTTTCAGCTGAGCTAGCTTGAAAGAGCTCCAGAAGCCAGAGCTTCAGTCTTTAGAGAAGCAGATCTCGTTTGACAGCTGACCCCCCCCTTCCCAGACCCCAGGCCCCCAGACCCCCAGACCCCAGACCCCCAGACCCTGGAATTCATCATTTTCACCCCCTCTGTATTTTCGGAAACCAAAACAAAATCTGGGGGGGTTTATTAATGCGATGTTAGCATTAAACCCGAAATCCTCACTCTCTGCACCCTTCCACGCTTTGCCCAGGCCTCAACTTCGCGCCCCGTGCATTGCGCAAAGCCCAGGCGCGCTGCATGCGACAGCTGCGCCAGGAATTGGGCGCGCTCCTCTCCACGAGATCTAGAGACGCAGTCTAGGAGTTCTAAGGTTCAGGGCTTAAGGTTTCGGGTTTGGGGTTTAGGGTGTAGACTACTATTTATAACTTAAGAACCCCCCAACAAGGAAGAATATTATTTCGTACCTCTTTTTTTTTTTGGGGGGGGGGGGGGGGTTCTTAAGCAAGTAGTAGGAGGATCTCGATGAACTCTGGGAGTTCTAAGGTTTCGGTGCTCGACGGCTCAGGGTTTTGATGTCACTCCCTGGGTTGAGGGATCCCAGCAGCTCGGATCTAAGGAATGTGGCTTGAGGGTTTTAGGTTTTAGGGTTTAGGGTTTTGGGTTTTGGGTTTTGGGTTTAAGCTTAAGGTTAAGGGCTGTACGGGGTTAGGGTTCGGCGGCCAACTGCTCCTCCTTGATTTGGGCGCTCTTTGGCGCTTCGTCTGCAGCTTGCCTGCGGAGATGGTTTTGGGCTTAGGGTTTAGAAGAGGGTTTAGGGTTTAGGGTTTAGGGTTAGGGTTTAGGGTTTAGGGTTTAGGGTTTCGGGTTTAGGGTTTAGGGTTTAGGGTTTAGGGCTCGCAAACCCTGCAATCGGCAAGTCCAAGGCAAGCGGTACCATCTGGGTCCCTGGCTCTCGTTCAACCAGCTGGCGGATCACCTCCGAGCACGACGCAACGGAGTAGGCAATGGGATTTAGGGTTTAGGGTTTAGGGTTTGGGGTTTAGGGTTTAGGGTTTAGGGTTTAGGGTTTAGGGTTTAGGGTTTAGGGTTTAGGGTTTAGGGTTTAGGGTTTAGGGTTTAGGGACAAGCAGAGCAGAGCTGCAGCAAAGGCCAACGGCGCAGCTTAAAGCGCCAGCAAAGCCCGGCGCAACTACGTCTTACCGTTGCAAGGCCGTCGAGGGCCAGAACACCGACGATCAGCTTCGGGGGTTTCAATAGGCGCTTAACATTTCAGGCCTCAGAACTCCTAAACCCTAAACCCTGAACCCTGAACCCTAAACCCTAAACTCTAAACCCTAAACCCTAAGCCCTAAACCCTAAGCCCTAAGCCCTAAAATTCGAGCCTTTAGAGTGAACTTGATGGCCGCCATGGCTTCAAGCAGCTGTGCCTGGGCAGTGAGCCCAAGTCGGGGGTAGAGGGTTTAGGGTTCCGGTTCATAGGATCCATAGGGCAAATAGGGTTTATAGGGTTCGCAGGGTTGAAAGGATTGACAGGGTGTACAGGGTTTTAATGGTCTACATAGGGTTTACCGGGTTGATAGGCCCAATTCCCCCACGGATTTCCCTGACTTGTACCAATTCTCCTCGAAATTTTCACGCGCATCCATGTAGAGAGTTCTCTAAACTAGGAATCCTTTTCTGGGTACCTGAAGAAGAGGGCCCGCCTTAAAATAAGGATCCCAAAAGGGACCACATTCTAGAGAAGTGACCATGCAGAGTTAGGGGAATCGGTACAAGGTTTAGTTTGGAGCTTTCGGCAAGTTCCAGATCCCTGGTTATGCAAGCCCCCCCTACACCCTAGTCCCGTAAACGATTCAAGGGCTTCGTTTCTGAAAGGCTCAGCCCCCGGATTGCGAAAATCCTTGGGGGGGCAGGCCTGCCTTGCAGTGGGCTTGGACATTGGCTTGCTGGCCGACTCGCATGGAGGGTACAGCGGCCCTTGCATCAGGAGTTTAGGATCTTAAAGACGTCTGAAACAGTCTGGGGCCCGAGGAGGTCGGCAAATAAACACTAAACTGGTGGCTTCAGCTTCAATATACGCTCGTAGTCTGCTCGATGTCTCCAGGACCAGTTTAAGGTTCCGGGTCCATACACCTAAATGGGGGGGAGGAATGCGGGGCGCCCTAAGTGTGGGACTCCGTATTCTATAACAGGACCACCAGAAACCCCAAACCCTAAACCCTAAACCCTAAACCCTAAACCCTAAACCCTAAACCCTAAACCCTAAACCCTAAACCCTAAACCCTAAACCCTAAACCCTAAACCCTAAACCCTAAACCCTAAACCCTACCAGAAAAGGAACCAAGACGTGAAGACCCTCCCGAATTGCTTTAAGGTACCTGCACCCAGCGAACCAGTAGTCCACCAAGGGCCGCCAGGGCAAAATGGTGCCTTGCAGATGAAGGGTTTAGGGTTTGGGGTTTAGGGTTTAGGGTTTAGGGTTTAGGGTTTAGGGCTTAGGGTTTAGGGTTGAGGGTTGAGGGTTGAGGGTTTAGGCCTGCCAAGTTTGTGGGTAGCTCAAGAGAGCTACACCCCAAACCCCGTATCTAAGTCTCTACACATGGCCGGTTGTGGCTTTCCGGCATCTACCGATTTGGGTTTCTAGGGATCAAGGTTGTGTGGGCACATTCCGGATCTAGTATTCACGATTCAGGTTAACCCTGAACCCTAAACCCTAAACCCCAGACCCTAAACCCTAAACCCCAAACCCCAAACCCCAAACCCTAAACCCTAAACCCTAAACCCTAAACCCTAAACCCTAAACCCTAAACCCTAAACCCTAAACTAAACCGCATAAACCCTAAACCGCTCGGCCCTTTGCCTCTCCCACCGCCGCTCCAGCAACGCCAGGAAGCGCGGGGCCAGGCACCGCACCTGGTCGGGCTTGGCGCTCTACTACTTGGAGGTTCATGGTACTTATTGATGGTAGGGTTTAGGGTTTAGGGTTTAGGGTTTAGGGTTTAGGGTTTAGGGTTTAGGGTTTAGGGTTTAGGGTTTAGGGTTTAGGGTTTAGGGTTTAGGGTGTAGGGTGTAGGGTGTAGGGTTTAGGGTATAGGGTTAGGGTTTAGGGTTTACTTGGAGGTTCATGGTACGATTATCCAATTATAAGTGTACTTGTTACTGTACTTAACACTTGTATTAGGGCACTTAAGGGGCTTATAAGTGGGTTATCAGTGCAGTCATCATTGGTTAATAAGTACCATGAACCTCCAAGTACTACAGAGAAGGTCATACGGTTTTGGGCTTATAAACGTTTAGAGCTCAAGGTTTCGGCTGTAGGGTTTAGGGAACCAGCCAACCAACCACCAGATGATCGTGCACGGGCCCACGCCGGGCAAGGGCGGCAAGGAGCGCGATGGCAAGGGCAAGCAAAGGGCCTTTGCCACACATTTCACCAGGGCAAAGCTAGAGCACGAGTGCGAGAAGGCGCCTTGGCCCTTCCATGCTGAGTGGGGGACCAGCAATGCGAAACGGATGCGCAGTTGCCAGATGCCAAAAGGTAAGGATCTATCCCACAAAGCAGGCCGAACTCGTCAGCTAGCCCTTGAGCCTTTCGCTGCTTCCTGTGTGACGGGCACATGGGGCTCACGGGGCATAACTGGAAGCCGCCTTGTGGGTCGGCAGTGTGAGACAAAGGCTGTTACACCCCGGTATCGCCCGGGCCGCTGCCGTATAGGTCAGCCATACAAGGCGGAGCCACCGCTTGGCCGGGGCATTGACAAGATGAAGAACCCTAAACCCTAAACCCTAAACCCTAAACCCTAAACCCAGAAGGCCACGAAGCTGCTGATCACGTTGCGCTCCCGAGAAACTGTGGCAATTGCGGTCTTATTGCTTCGCCCCAAACCCTAGAAGCCAGGAAATACCCTAAAACCTACTACAACCCCGAGACCCTAGAAACCCTTAAGCCTAGAACCAAAAATTTATTTTAAAAAAAAGGAATCTTTAAAAACATTAAACACCGAAACAATCCCCAAGTCCCTAGGGGCCTGCGTCCAATCGAGAGCAGAAAATAAAGGCAAACATATGACCAAGCAAACCAAAATCCTGCACCCCCTTCATCATAAGCGACTAAGGGGTGCTGGGCCCAGGTTCAGTTGGGGTTATGAGAGTTGAGGAGGTAAAGGCCTGAGCAAGTGCAGCAGGCCCCCTTGGCAAGTGTGGCCGAGGTTGCAGGCGCATTTGCAAGGCATTGCGCACCTCCACGAGAGGCCGCCTTTGGCCTCCTTTTTGCCCGTGTCTCCTTTGGGTGTAGCCGCCTGCGTGCTAAAGCAGCTTGTTTAAATCACTCTAAGCCCAGAGCCCCTGAACCCCAAACCCTAAACCCTCAGCCCCAAACCCCAAGCTCAAACCCCCTACTGAACCTACATAACCCTAAACCCTAAACCCTAAACCCTAAACCCTAAACCCTAAACCCTACACAGCGCCTCTGAAGGTGACAGCACTGCGGGATTCATCTCCGGCCCCTCCAGGACAGCCAGGGCTTCATACACCTCCCGGGCAGGCGCTGATGACAGGGTTTAGGGTTTAGGGTTTCGGGTTTCGGGTTTAGGGTTTAGGGTTTAGGGTTTAGGGTTTAGGGTTTAGGGTCTAGGGTCTAGGGTTTAGGGTTTCGGGTTTAGGCGTTTAGGGTTTATGGTTCAGCGTTTAGGTTTTGGGGTTTAGGGTTTAGGGGTTTTTGGGGGTTCGGAGGGTTGAGGCGTGGGGCCCATACAGCCCTGAGCGAACTATGGAGGTCATGCCCCACCAGTTTGCAGGCAGGGAAACCTGTTTCTTGACGCGTACGGCTTATGAGGCCGTCATTGCAAGGATCAATCGTAACTAAACCCTAAACCATAAACCCTAAACCCTAAACCCTAAACCCTAAACCCTAAACCCTGGCAACCTGCTTCGCACGCTCCCTTTTGTCTTTCTTCTCAATGCCGCATGTGTCTGCTATATGCTGTTGCTGCGGTCACTTCCAGCCGAAGTAGTCCTTCACGGCCGTGTAGCCCTTCTGCGCCGCCTCGTAGCCGGCGGTGGCCGTGTCCGTTGCGGCCTTCGCGGCGTTGGCGGCCAGGAGTCCTGGGCAGAGGCTGCCAAGGGCACCGGGAGACCAGAAGGTGCAGGCGTGCCTCTGCTGATCTTGGCACCCTAGCAAAAGTTGTGTGACTTTAGCTGGTTTCTTTGGAGTTGGAGTACCCAAGAATGAAAAAAAAAAATTCCAACCATCCCTAAGGTGCGGGAAGGCATTGCCGAGGGTCGGGCTGCTGCAAAACATGTCCGCAAGGTCCTCGTTGCTGTGGCTGCCGCTCAGCTGCTTCACTTGTGGGAACGCCTTCTCCCACGCGGCCTCGTTCTGAAAGGTGAAAGTCGTGGAGTAGGTGTGGACATCGACCTCGAGGTACAAAGGTCCGGCAGTGTACATGCCCGACCATCCTCTCAAGCTGCACCCATTGCTGCCCGAGGCCGTCAGGAAAGCCCCAGCCAGGGGATCCTTCGAATTCTCCTTCACGAACTCCTTCGTGGCATGCACGGCAGTTTCTGCAGTGTCCTTCACAGCTTCAGCAGTGTCCTGCACAGCTCTTCCCACCGCGGTTGCGGCCTCCTTCGCGCACAAGGCTTGGACAGCACCCGGGGCGAAGAAAGAGCATGCCTCGCCCAGGGAGGGCTGGCTGCAAACCAGCTCGTGGAGCTCTGAGTTCTTGTGGGTCCCGTTGAGATTCTTGAACCGGTCGAAGCTGCTCAGCTGGGCGTGGAGATTGATGGTCGTGGTCAGGGGGCCAACATGGACACTCATGGCTTGGATAGGTCCCATCAAGTAGGTTCCGTACCAGCCCTGCACCGTGCAGCCATTGGAGGCCCCTGGTGTCATGTACATATTCGCCATGGCTGAGGCGAAGGGGTCCAAGGCTACCCCGAGCTTGCCCTGAGTGGTCACCCGCTTGGCGGCCGCTGACCAGGCCAGCGCAGCAAGCAGAATGCTGCGGAGAGTGCACATGGCAAGTAGGCTGAGGTTGGCGAACAACTGTGTCAAAAGTTGGAATGCTTGAGTGCTTGAGCCGAGTAGCTAGCCATTGGGCAAAGGCACGAAGGCTCTGCGTGCTGATTCCCCAACTTCCAGGCCATGCGTGGCTACATGACTTCACATCCTCACCGCATTACACTACACAGCATGATACATTCGAATGAGCCGAGGAGCGTAGAAGAGCGTACAGCATGAAACCGATGATGGAATCCGTGCGCATGGAGCAGCAGGGGGACAAAACAGTCGAGTCAGAAAATACAAAGAGGCAACGAGGCAACGATTGACTACATTGAGGGTGCACCCTTTGGGATGTGAGAACCTCCCCAGCCACTGGCTGACGAAACAACCTTGAGCCTCCAACCCTAGTATACGGCTTAGTTCAAGTCAGTTCCCATGGCCTCGAGCTCCTGAACATCGTCCAGCTCCTGACGACGACGACGACGACGACGACGACGACGACGACGACGACGACGACGACGACGACGACGACGTTTCTTATAGTAAAAGCCGACGACGACAGTGACGATATCGACAACAACCCTTGTTGCAGAAAAAAAAGGAACCAGACGATGACATGCACATATAAACATGTATGTATGTGTATATATAGATAGAGATAGATATAGATATAGATGTAGATATAGATATAGATATAGATATAGATATAGATATACGAATAAGAACAAGAATCGCAGCCTTGTCTTGAAACCCTGAACCCTAACCCTCGACCGCCGGGGCAACTTGGGCAGCCCTTCTACCCCGACGGGACTGATTTATGGTAAGGGACGAAATCGCAGAAACCTGTGCAGCCGAAGCTGAATCAACGATTCCAAAAGGCCACCCAGAAAGTGGTGTCATTGCTCTGTGGCCATCGACGGTGTCAAAGGCCCGAAAGAAAACCAGAGAAGACCCCGACTCGATCGCCAAGTTCCTAAAGTTGGTCTTGTGCTCTAGGGGCAGCTTTCTTTGGGGGGGGGAGGGGGGGAGGGGGCTTGGGGGGGGAGGGGGAGGGGGGGGTTGGGGCACCTTAATTGGTGGGGATCTAGCATGTCGGGGCTACACCCTTCACCCTCTTCACTCTAGACCCTTGGACCTCCATTTCCCAGCCTCCAGGAGGATCGCTCGCAGGGCCCCGTGGGTCTCTGGCATTGGCACCCCCGCGGCAGCGAGCCTGCTTTAGTTGGGTTTCGGGACTTGGGTTTAGGGCACCCCCCCCCAACGCTGAATGAACTACCCCCGACACCCTAACACCCTGCATACCTCAGGAGGGGAGCCTCGTGATTCTTCCACCCCTGCCTGTGACTTGTGCAAAACGCAAAACATTGCAAGACCCATTTACAACTCGAGAGGTACCCCGTTTATACCCCAGACAGGATAGAGTCCCCTTAAAGGGACCCCCCAAAAAGGGTACCCCTATTTTCGGAAACCCCCATTCAACATGGTGCTTCAGGGTTTAGGGGATTGGGTTGAGGGTTGACTACAGTGAGGTGAGGGTGGCGGCTCCTTTGCTGCTTTTACTCTGATTTGTAAGACGTAGACCCCAAAACCTAAACCCTCAACCCGGCAATCACACCCAAAGCCCTCAAACCCCCCACCCCTAAGCCCCAAACCCCAAACCCTAAACCGTAGAACCCTCAACCACAAGCCCTAAACCCCCTAAAGCCCCTGTAGAAACCCCTAAACCTTAAGACCTCTCAACCAATGAACACTGGGTTGGCCTGTAAACCCTAAACCCTAAACCCTCAACCCTAAATCCTAGACCCTAAACCCTAAACCCTAAACCCTAATATCAGTCCAAGAGGTCCCTTCTGCACCCCAACAAAGAAAACATGTGTTTTTAACATCCCCCGAGGCCAACCTAGAGAACGCCTCCTCTTCGCCTGCCCCCCTACCCTAAACCCTAAACCCCTGAACCCCTAAGCCCCTAAACCCTAAACACCTAACCCCCTAACCCCCTAACCCCCTAAACACTAAACCCTAAACCCTAAACCCTCAACCCTCAACCCTCAACCCTAAACCCTAAACCCTAAACCCTAAACCCTCAACCCTCAACCCCAACCCCCCTCCCAGGAACCGGCGGAGTGCGCAGCGCCGAGGAGGCGCAGGGAGGAGCAGGCGCCCCGCGAGCTCCTTTGCGCCCCGCGATTGGGGCTTCAGGGGTCTAGGGTTTGGGGTTTGGGGTTTAGGTTTTAGGGCTTAGGGCTTAGGGCTTAGGGCTTAGGGTTTAGGGTTTAGGGTTTAGGGTTTAGGGTTTAGGGTTTGGGGTTTAGGGTTTAGGGTTTAGGGTTTAG